TGTGCCCGCCCAGTGTATATAGAATATATAGGTCAAGTGGAGAGAAATGAAGGGCTCTGCTATTGTTGAAAGCAGCTTAACTAGTAAAAAATAATCAGACCTACCCTAGTTTACTACTTATTGATCTCAGATGGGCACTGTATCTGCAGAACTTCTTTACAAAAACTTGCAGGCAAAGAGCCACAAAAGTGTATTGATGGTTCTTCATTCATAAGTCTCAGCAGTTTCCTCGTGTTGACAGATGGAGAAGTGTGTCCTCGGGGAGGCCTCTCTGAAGTTGGGCAGGGCATGCTCCTGGCCTCATGTAACCACGATAGAACATTTCTGCAGATCTCTCGGCAGAAGATGAGGAGGGTGTACAAGAAAATTGAGCCTCTAACCATATTTTCTTCTAAAATCTTCTGTAAGTCTTTTACAAGGAAAGAGCATTCCTGAATGAAACCTGCCATGAACTAAAGGGATGTATTGCTGTCAAAGGAGGCTATTCTAGATTCCAGGTGTCTGACATAAGCCCTGAAATATATGAACTTGAATAAAACGCTAGTTAATCATTTCGGAAACTAAGCCAGATCACCGTTCTGACATAATATTTACGGATAACATTCAATCATTCACTTTTATTGCCTATTCTCTTAACAGTCTAGCGCTGAGAATCTTGCCAAATATGAGTATTTTGGTTCCAAAGATCTGCTCGGAAACGGTTCTTTTGCATGAAATATGCTTTATCAAGGTCAGAGTTGGCATCCTATAAAATTCCTTGATTTAATTTGAAGTAGACAAAACACTGACATCAACCTTGGACCAGTAGCCCAACCGAAGCATGTTCAAATTGTTAAAGAGCTTAAATCCATTCCTCATCTTCACCTTCACTGAGGTTGCTCATATGGAAACCAAAATCCCCAGCGTAGTCAATGGGTTTCCCATGGCTGTGTGGAGTGTCATGGGGAGAGGGGTTCTGAGCTCAGAGCAGTAGAAGTGAGGACTGTGATTCGCAAGGTCTGCCATGGGAGAGAGTACAGTGGGGCCTTGACTTACGAGTGTCCTGACTAACGAGTTTTTCGAGATACGAGCCGTCTCTCGGCTGATTTTTTGCTTTGAGTTGCGAGCTAAAATTCAGGTTACGAGCCAGTTTCAGATACCCCACCGCTAGTTGGCGCAGCGAACGTCACAGTGAACGCCACAACATCAGCCCAGCATCACGTGTCTCACTCGTTCACTTTTTGACTTGACATACGAGTAATTTGAGTTACGAGCTCCGTCACGGAACGAATTAAACTCGTACGTCAAGGCCCCACTGTAGTAGAAACAAGGGTAATGAAGGTCTGGAACCCAAGGCCATTTACCACAGAGAAAAGAACCCTCAGGTGAGCCATGGCATCTTAAGGCAAATGCTTGCAGAACAGTCATATGAACAAGGGTATCAACTTATTCGAAAGCAGCAAATGTGTAGCGGGAAGTGAAATCTTAAGCCCATAGAATGAAGAACTTTTAAATAATTAGAAAAGTCCAACATGGAACATACTCTTTTGAGAGAGAGAGAATCACCCCCAAGACTTAGACGTACCCTGGCAGGGGGTATCGCTATCTTAGGACAGATCCCAGCAGGTGTGGGAAGTCAGAAAAAAATGATTTCGTAGGGATCTTAGGACATGCCATCCAACCTCAAGCAAGAAAAACCATTGTCTTCTAGAGCAGGGTTATTTGTACTGAGACAACAATGAAGAAAAACATCCAGCTGCTTGAGATAAATATGTTTAGCATTTCCGCTGAAATTTCATCCCAATCAGAGGCCATGTCCGTACCTGGGGATTGCCCACCGAAAGAGACGTTTAATTTGAAATAAAAAACACACACATTAAAATGGTGATGGACGGAGATTTGACTTGAGGTGGTGAACACACAATACAGCGTACGAAGGATGTGTTGTGGAATTGTGCACCTGAAACCTGTATAATTTTGTTAACCTGCGTCAGTCACCCCAGTCCATCCCACAACAAAGATATAAATTAAAAACATTGAAGGTGGACATCATTTTATAAAATCTCAGCATCCACACAGGGATTCTCCTGTGTGGAGGTGGGTAATTCTTGAACTAACAGGCCTGGCCCAAATGAAACTTATCAAAAGCCGGCCTGCCATCTATTTGAAACCAATTGGTTGCCCCGGAAGGTTAGGCGTGTGATCAGTAACTGTCCCATCAGCCATCAGCATCTTGGCCGCAGAGTGAAGGAGATGGGGAGAGAAATCACCCGCGACAGAGATGAAAGCTGGGCGGTCGGAAGAAAAAGGCCTCCTTGATTAAGCTGTGGACTTACTCGAGTCTTTCATTCTCCCTCCGGCCCGTCTCCATGCTGGCACGGGGGCGGGCCGTGGATGGATGGGGACGCTCATCAGGAGGAGCACGCCCATCTATCTTGCGGGCAGATTTTTTTATTCGCCAGCTCCAGAGGAGCCGGGAGATTTATTTGGAAGGATGGTAATGAAGGCGGGAGGCACTGGCCAGACTGCAGCTTCCCTTACCCATGTGTTAGTCTCACTTTCTCTCTCTTCTCGATGCTGAGTTGCTCTCTTTATTTCCGCTTATTTTTCTTAATATATTTCTATTGATTTCAGAGAGGAAGGAAGGAGAGAGAGATAGAAACATCAATGATGAGAGAGAATCATTGATCGGCTGCCTCCTGTACGCCCCACACTGGGGATTGATCCCACAACCCGAGCATGTGCCCTGACTGGGAGTCGAACCATGATCTTCTGGTTCATAGGTGGACACTCAACCACTGAGCCACACCGGCTGGGGCTCCCCTTATTTTTCTCTAAAAGGAGGGATGTGTTTGGTCTCATTAGCCAGTGGCTGGAGAGCGGATGGTAGTGAGGATCTGGGAGCACAGAATTTCCAGGTGTAATTTTTGCTGCAGTATTTCAAATGTTTTCATGACACTCTACATTTTCATTCTACACAGGTGCATTTACTTGGACCCAATCATATACTCCTTGAAATATTGTTTCTTCATTCCAAAATGAGATCTCATGTTTCCTTTCTTGCTGTTTTGTTTTTGTTTTTTTTTGTTTGTTTGTTGCTCTGCCTGGCAAGAATGAAATCGTTCTCTTTCAATGAAAAAAAACTAACTTTCCACCATGCTAAGACAGTCGATCAGATGGGCTAGCTCTGCTGGGCCACTTCTAACGGATCACATCTGGTTGATGAATCAAGCAGTGGGTATCCCTCTCGCAATCCGGGACCGCAGGCTCCTAACCGCTCACCTGCCTGCCGGCCTGATTGCCCCTAAATGCCTCTGCCTCGGCCCTGCCACCGTGGCTTTGTCCAGAAGGACGTCCAGAAGGATGTCTGGAAGACGTCCTGTATAATTAGCACATAACCCTTTTATTAGTATAGATATGTCTTATTTCCCTTCGCGTTTTCCCTTTGAAGTTGTTCCTGGTAGGTAGTGGTATTTGTGTTGAACACACTGACTTCCACATGAAGCATC